AGGGAATACACTATAGATAGGGTAGGGATAGCATTTATGATATTATTATGTGATCTTTTACATAAATAAAATATAATCTTGTGGGTAAAACTATTGTTTGACTTATCATGCGTTGGCTATAGAATGTCAGCTATATATTTGGTAATTATAGTAGCCTTAAGAGTAGCATCAGGTATGTACATACATACATACATAGAGAATTATTTTATACACATATTTAAACGCAGTAAAAAGAGCACATTTCATTTTGTTTAAGCTTAAAATTTAATATTATATTTAATTTAAAGTTGTTCATTTTTATATCTTATTATATTATATTTAATTTCAGTATGTTGGTATTAAAAAATCGAATATTTAACTTAAATTGATATGTGTTTAGTTTACTACGACATAGGTAACCGGTTAAGTGCACGTTATAGGGCATACTTATAGAAAAAACCTCTACCAGTTTTATATCCTCAAAATTAATGGCAGAATATTGCAGGTTAAGATTCGCATGGCCTATGACTCCTTTGACGTATTCTGAAATTGCACTCTCTGTCATAGGGTATTACCCGCTCCTACAAAGAAACAAGCGAGTGTGGCAGTGCGAGTGGGAGTGGGAGTGGAGCTCTCTGTCTGACTCTAGTGCTGCACTCCATTCCCTTCTGCATTCTCTTGGTTTTTCATGCATGTTACAATGTTGTTAATACGACGCTTAGTAGTTGTTGTTCCACACTGCAACTAACGAAACACTCACACACACACATACACATTGACTTGACACTCTCCCCCTCATTGACATGTCCTCTCAGAATAGAGTATATACCCTTTGGAGCATGTGTAAACGCTTTTAAAATGTATTTATTCTTGATACAATATTGATAAAAGTACAGTCTGCCATGCAGGCACTTGGCAACACTATTAGGCATTTCCCAACACTATTAGGCATTTGCCAACACTACTGTTTAATCGCAAATTGTGCGTAAGGGCATCAAATGCTTCGGATTAGCTTTTCCTGCTGATTCGTTGCCTTTGTTTTTTGTGTTGCATATTGACGATGCAAAACACTAGAGAAAGAGAGAGAGAGATGGCTAGAGTGCTGAGGGAGTGAGGGAGCAGACAGTATTGTAAAATTATTGGCATGCGAAACGAGGAGGAGATGCTGCAACGTTTATTAAATTTTTCAAGTGCCACAAAACAGAGAAGGGGACAGCGATGGGGATGGGGGCGGACCACAGCCACAGGATGCACAGGGCCACAGGAGGCAAGGTGTGTTGTCATGTTGGAAATTATTTTCGGGTGCCACATGGGGTCGGTGGGGTCGAGGGGTGGCGCGTATCTGTGGGGCCAGGTGGGGTTAAGTCTTTTATGTTGTATTAATTTTACAGCGTTACATTTTTGCAGCTTGCAACGCCAGAGAGACAAAGAGAGATTGACACCGAAGAAGGAGTGAGAGAGAGAGAGTGGGAGAGAGAGAGAGTTGGAGAGGGGAATGTGGACAGAGAATACTGCACAATAAAATACTGCACTTTATGTAGCGCAATACTCGAGTTCATTACTTAAACCCTTGCAAAGTCCTTAAACAAGAGAGAGTGAGAATGCATCGCTAGAGCATGCCACCATCTGTGGCAGGACACGAGTGGACGACGACGCGACACATGTGTCTGGGTGTGTGTGTGTGTGTGTGTGCAGATACATTCCCAGTGCAATCGTTGATAATACACATAAATACATTGTCTAATATTTGCAAAAGCTTCAGCTACAGCCCCAGGCAACGTTGCAAGTGCAGCGTGCAGCGTGCAACTGCAACTGAAACTGGAGAGCCAGCAGAAGAAACCAAAGATCTGCTGCTGCTACTGCTGCTGCTGTGGGTGCGCAGGGGGGTAAGGGTACGGGCGGGCTTAACTGTCGTCTGGGGGTTTTTAGAAATTTGTTTCTCCTCTCACCCCCCCCGCCGCCACCGTCGCCGTCTCTGCCATGTGTCTGTGTGTGTCCTCTCTGCACTTCATTGGACCTGAAACAAGTTTTGCTAACTATTTGAGTGAGTTTTCCCCCACCGCCCCCCACCGCCCCCCACCGCCCCCAAAAGCCATGACTTCTTTGCTTTCATTTCCTTTACGTTCCTTTGCGCCGTTGCTCCCTCCCCCCCCCCCCCTCGCTCTAGCAAACAGAAGACAATGTGCAGAAGGAATCCCCCAAAAGCTGTGTCTCAGTTGCACACTCAGAGCCCAGAGCCGAGATCCCAGTGCCAAATCCCAGTGCCAGTTCCAGTTGCATGTGTGGCATGTGGCATGCTAAGATAATGCACTACAAAGTTACATATTGTTAAGCGGCTTATGGCGGCTGTGATTCCACCACTGACAACCTGAGACCTGAGTCCCACCTGAAACCCGAGGCCTAATGCCGGGGCTAATGAGTTCGTTAAACCTTTCGCTGGCAGAAGTGCCACACGACACAACGACAGGAAGTGCCATATTAGTATTGTGGCAGCACAGCAGACACAGGGGAAAGAAAGGAAACTGCCCAAGGAAATTCCTAGGAAATTATTGTAAAACATAACAAAATATGAAATAATATCTGATTCGCTTTTTAGAGATTCCTCTCTTGAAATTCCTCTCTTGAATACCTTCCAGTTATGGCATCTTGAATCCCCTGAAACTGAATACCGTTTGAGTCCCGTCCCACTGTTGCCACAATTCATGGACGATGTCTGCCATTCGGCCACACTTTGCTGTGCATCTCAAGCCTTTCGATTGCAGATTGCAGGCAGCAGGCAGCAGCAGCGTTGCCAATTTTCACACAAATTAGAAACAATTTGCTGCAAAGTGCACTTAAAATCTGAGATAGAAATTGAGCAATGGAAATGTAAATGCAAATGGAAATGGAAGGAGTGTGGCCATGGCAAAGGGAATGTGCTGTCCCTTTTGTAGTGCTGCGAGCAGCAGCAGCAGCAGCAGCAGCAGATGGAGGAGGAGTTGAAGTAGGAGAAGGACATTTTATCAAATCAAAAACTGAATTTGAATTTCAATCAACTTGAATTAAATCAAAATTTGCAAAATGAAGTGTGCACACAGAAAAGGGGCATGGGGCATGCCGCACACACTTGTACTCCTTAGAATGCAGCACGAAAATTGGAAAATAATTCCTATGAATGGGTTTTCGGGGTCCTATTTGGGGAGTCCTGTCCTTTGCAAGCGTCTCGACCGCAGAAGCAGCAGCAGGAACAGCAGCAGCAGGAAATGGAGTCTGAAGATGAAGGCTTTTTAGCCACAAAAATTCACAGCAAAGAAAGCAGCATCCACAAATGCATTCGACAGAGGGGAAGTGAGTCGGTGTTGGAGTTAGAGTCAGAGTCAGAGTCCTAAGAGTCCTAAGAGTCCTGGGGAATGTGCTTGAAAACCCATCAGCCCCTGGGTAAACCACAAAACATGAAAGAGAAGAGCCTTCTCTCTTACTCTGTGGCAGGCAGGCAGCACTCCACTCCACTCCACTCCACAAGCGAGGAAATGTCAAGTTTTCTGTCTATAATTTAGTGGCATATTCAATTTGTCCCTGAGAATCCCTAGTCCCGAGTCCCGAATCCAAGTCCAAGTCCAAGTCCTTTTGCAGCTGCTGCTCTCCTTCTGTCCATCCGTCCATCTGTCTGTTGATTAAGCATTGCGCACACGTAGTGGCAATTGATGCCCCAGATTCGCGCACCTGTTGGAACCCCAGACTAACCCTGACTATCCCGCTGGTCAGTGGTGTTCCTCCCTGCACTCTCCCTTCGCTCTGCCTCTGCCTGAGTTGGGTGGCACGTAGCCGCACAGAGAACTCAACTGGCACATGGAGGTGTAAATGAGAACTGGTTCCGGCTAATGCATGGAAGCGATTGATAGATTGATTGATGGTTGCACACTTGAGGGATTCCTGCTCATTGTTTGTGCAACATTGCACACAGCACACAGCACACATGATGATCGTCTCCCCATGCATTGAATGCTGTTTTGTGTGGCACAGAAGAGAGCGAAATCTGCACCAAAAGTTATCCATGGACTGTGGCAGTATCAGGGCATAGCCAGAGCATTTATAGTTGGCATTGGATTGGTCCACTCAAAGGAACAGATCGACATGCATTACGTGACAGTATTTGCAACTAAAACTTACGACAATGACAATAATCGAACGAATAATAATCGAATAATAATCGACTATCTGTATGACATTTTTTTTTTTTACTTATATATGAAATATTGCGTGTTAATTTCTGGCCCAACTAATTAAATATTAGTTACCAGGCTACCCAGTAGCCCAAATTAAACAAACTTCGATTAAAAATTACAAAAAACAATTCTTAGGCAGGCATTGCTTAGGTCCCAATTGGCAGACGAAAGCCAACGTATTCTATTTTTAGAATGTGTCTCATATTTCCCTCTCACTCTCACATGTTACATGTAGCTATGTAAACCCACCCTTAACTGCATCATAACAATGCGCAAGAGAGAGACAGAGAAAAATTATATTGCAATTTCGGTTTTTCGTTTAGTTCTCTCTCTGATGGATGAGCCATGTACATTATGTACAGGAAAATCCAGATAAGAGTAAAAGATATATAACGAAAATTACGTAAATACATCTATGACGGTGCATGCAAAGGGATTATCTGTCTGGAATATCATGTTGTATCGAAAATGAAATGTCGTTAAAGCCTAACCGATCGTAGTGGGCCTGGGCAGATAACCTTTCAGATGGTTTGCTGCTCAGTGTTCAGTTCCTCAGTCGAGCCTGAGATTTCCCAACCTAACAAAATTTTCTACACATTTTTTGGCCAGATACAAATTGGTTGTGAGTATTATTTTGGGCTAAAAAACACAAAACAAACCAAACCAAACGAATGCTGATACTTACGCTTGCAGAGGATGACGCATCCCGGTTCAAGCAGTGGCAAGCACGCTCCCCGTCCCCATAGGCATCATCATCACAGGATGCCAGAGGCCGAACACAGGCGGACAGAGCGAGTTATCTCGCCGCAGCAGGCGATGGCGCCCGCGGACATGGCCGCCACTTCCATGCCCGTGGCCAGTCCCATTGATGAACGGATCCATCCCTCGGAGGACACTTTGACACTGGCCGCGGCTGTGGCCGCCTCCATACCGGCCGCACCGCTGGCACCCGCGCCAGCTGTGGCGGTGCCTGTGGCCCAGGTGTCGCCCACACAAACGCCAGCCCCAGCGGCTGCCCTCGAGACTGCGCAGGCGCAGGCGGAGACTGTGGCGGCGCCGTTGGAGAGACGCGGCATACTCCAGCGTCTCTTTGGCTGGAACTAGCGACGCCCTCCCATTTTGAAGTTCATCAAAATTACCATAGTTGCAGGATAATCAAAGGCTACCCGCCGCTTGAGGCTCGAATAAACAGAAAAAACAAAGGCAGAGCCACCACAAATTCGAGTGTTTTATTTTTTCACAATGGGGAAACAGATTTCCACAGACTTTTGAGGCACTTGTGCCTCGACAAAAACGTTGCAACTGTTTGTACACATTAATTTCTATAATTAATTTAATTTCCCGCTCTTTTGCAGCTCTCTCTCTCTCTCTCCGTCTCTCTCTCTGGCTCTGTCGCTGTCTCTACTGCAACGTCAATGTCTGACGAAGTGCCTTTGGGGCGTCTATCGCAAATCTTCGATACGCTCACAAATCTGCAGCAACAGCAGCAACAATCGCTGCAGGTGCAGGCCACAGCGGCGGCAGCGGATCAGCGGCGACGTTCGGCCTCATCGTCGCCCTCGCCGTCTGCCAGTGCATCGGCCTCCAGTTCGGGCCGGGCCACGCCCTCGGCTGCGCTCTACTATACGCAGAGCCACCAGAGCCACTACTTCCTGAGGCCCCAGGATGGCAGCAGCGTGGGTTTCCTGCACACCTTTCCCTCGCACCTCTACCACCACCAGCAGCAGCAGCAGACTCAGCAGCAGACTCAGCAGCAGGCGCAGCATCTGCTCCAACAACAACAGCTGCTGCAGCAGCCGCCGTCGCTGCCGGGGCGATTGTCGGGCTCCCAGTCGCTGCACGGCTCTCCGTTGGTGGTCAAGCGGGCCACCTCGTTCAGCGGTCAAATGCCGCTGGTGCAGGGGCGCCTCTCCAGCACCACCTCGACGCCGAACAGCCCGCGGCTGATGCCACGGCGCGTGCCACGGCCCCCGCCCATACCGGCCAAGCAGGGGGCCAAGGCGGAGGCGCCGCAGCCGACCGTGAATCCTGTGAATCCCGTGCTGGCCGCCCTGGATGCCCCCGATGCGCCGTGGCCGCACTTTTCCACGCTCACCGAGCACCTGGACGTCCATCAGGTGAACAACTACGGACAGGCCCTGCCGGAGGTAAGAATTCCACTGACTTTTCGCGAGGGAAGAACATTCAGGAGGTTCCCTCTTTGCAGATCAACTGGCAGGAACGTTGCCTGGAGCTGCAATTGGAGCTGCATCGATCGAAGAACCAGGCGGGACGCATACGGGATATGCTGCGTGAAAAGGTAGGCCAAACCAAACCAAACCAAACTAAACATTCGCTTGGCTCTGAAGATGACACAGAAACCGCATTAATTACACAGATGGCAAACGAAAGTGGGTTTATGTAATTTTGTCTGCGGGGGCATGGGCATGGGGTACACAGGCGCCACCATCTTGAACGTAATTATGATTTATGAGTGCGCGCCACGGATGGAACATTTTTACGACCAGAAACAGACAGACACAGACACAACAGCCCCCGAATGTGGGCTTCATTGCGTGGCTGGGTGGGGTGGGGTGTTGTGGAGATAGTGTAGCTGTTATGGTGGGACATATGGAGCTGTGGAAGGATTCCCCCTCATTATCGGGCTAATTAAGTCATTAGGCATTTGGCCAAAAGGAGCAGCGCAAGAAGCAGCCACCCACACCAGCGCTTGTTTCGGCGCCCGCATTAATGCAAAAAAAAACTATATGAATTATGTATTAGAGTGAAATGTGAACTACAATAAAGAAAACTCCCTACATACCCCCCCTGCACTCATTGCGCTGCCAGGGGTGGTGGCGGAGCCGTAGCCGGAGCCGTAGCCAGAGCCGGAGCCTGCAACATGACATAAATTAATTTTACTTCAATGATTTTTATTCCATGAATTATGCATGAGTGCTCTCTCTCTCGCTCTCTCTCTATTCTCTCCACCCACCGCTCGATGGGGAAAATTTTGTAAGCGCCCCGACATGGATATGTATATATATCCAGGCGGTTATGGGGCTACCATTAGCTCCGCAAACTCACTTTTGAATTAGTTTAAAATCTTACGAAAAATAAAGTCAATTATTTTTTTGGATTTTCATGTTTAATAGGGATTTGCATGTGTTGAAATTTAGTTTATAAAATTAAATAAAAACAAATTAGATATTTATAAAATTAAATAAAAACAAATTAGATATTTATAAAATTAAATACAATCAAATTAGATATTTATAAAATTAAATAAAAACAAATTAGATATTTATAAAATTAAATAAAAACAAATTAGATATTTATAAAATTAAATACAAACATATTGTAGGTATCTAAGAATTGTGCGTGTAAGTGCCCCCACAGTGCGCCAAGAAATGCGAATTCGACAACTGGTGACCCCGGTTCAATGCAGCAAAAAGGCGTAGAGACCCAGAGGGACCCAGAGAGATGCAGAGACCACTTACCGTTGAGAGCAAACATTCACTCAATTATTATCACGAATATTATGAATATTATTTTGTATTGCTGGGGCTGGGACTCTTTCAATATTTAATTGGCAATTTCCGAGCAGTCGACAAAACGGGCAGCAGAACACCAACAGAAAATGCAGCAAAATGCAGCTAGAAAGAACAAAAAACAGACTGGGAAAACTGTGTGCATTCAGAAAATAGTAGAAAAGAAGAAAATGCATAACTCGATGGCTAAAAGTATGCGATGAATATTTTATTTCTGTTTTTATGCATTTGCCATTTTCCGTTTCCGTTTCCGTTTCGCCCAACCCAGCCACTCCCCCTCCCCACCCCATTTGCCATGCTCCATGCAGACGGATTTTCGCTTTCGTTTTTTGTTGCTCTTTTTTAGTTGACTCTTCAACTTTTGCCAGCAATGCAATTCAAGTGCATCATAAATTTTAAATTAGTTGTAATAAAAACTTGAAATGGTCCGGACACAAAACCGATGCTTGGGTCAATCTACCATGCCACTCGCAGTTGCCACCCCATTAAAACTGCCCAAGGAAGCGCCCCTCTAAATATGCAATGTTATTTATAATATTTCCCCACTCCTTTGACTCCCAGCCGGAACCCAAAGGAAGGGAAAACAAATCAAAGGGAAAAGGAAAAAGCTATAAGGAAAAACGAAGTTGTTGCAGCTATGGGGATATATAGTAGCGATATGAGATCGGATTCAAATGTAGTTTCCATCTTTGAAAAAACACAACAAACACTTGGCATTGTTTTTGTGGAATGCAGTTGCTTCTCCTTAGCAGGACTCCCTGCAGACAAAAGGGGGACCCTCCAGACCTGCAACGACCGCAAAATTTCGGCTCTTGGGTGTGTGGGGTGTGTGTGTGTGGGGTGGGGGGCTCCTATTTTCGTCTGGCAACAATGTTCAGGATGTTGAAATTATGGCCAAGCATATTGCAACATTCTTGTAGCACAATAAAATTCAAGTTTACTACCAAAGCCATACCAGGGAAAACAGCAAACAGCAAACGGACGACCGACGACTCCAGCTGATGGCAAATGAATCCAAGGGGAAGGCTGACATTGGCCAGCCCATGAATGTTGCCAAACTTCAGGATGGAATCAAAGAGCTGCCACTTTATACACTGTTCCTGCCAGTGGGCAGAAGATCAGAAGATACCTTGGAATTGCCTTCGTTTATAACCGAAAAATGTACCTAATTCTAACGTTTTTTGTGGCTGGACATTCCCGAATTAAACAGAGAGAGAGAGAGAGAGAGAGAGCGTGTGCCCAGCAAAGGGTCGCGAAAGTCGAGCGCTGACGGCGTTCCGTTGGTCATTTGATTGCCTCAAATATGCACCTACTGCCGCAGCGTATGGGCCCATGCTGGCCCCAGGGCATGGCTTGCAATTGCAGGGATTGCGGCGGCCGTCAACACGGCAAACATGGCTCGAAAATCGACTCGCATTAGTGTGTGTGCCATCGGCCATCTGCCATAAGCTGTGCATGCCCCCTAATGCGAGTTCTGCTGCTAACTACCATGCATTGCCTGCCCACCCTGCCATCGAAGCCCCCGTGGAGCGCGTTAACGCGTCGAAAGTCGCGCTTTGGGGGCAAATGACCGCCTGGCGTGCCCAGCGTGCCCAGCCTGGCGCTGTCATCCATTTCAATTTGCATCCGCAAAGGCAAAGACAGCATAGCATGCAAAACCAAAAACCCAAAAACGAGAAGTGCTGACAACAGTTTGCTCCCATTGTCGATTAATATAGACCCAACGCACACACTCGTACACTTGCAGAAAATTCCCATGCAAAGGCAAATGCAAGACACGGCAGCTCAGCAGATAGCACACTTTTCTGCCAGTGTACACGGAAATGCGTGTGTGGCAGCTGTCAGGGCGGGCGCGTGGAGCGGGAGCGGGCTGTGGCAACAATGGCACATCCGATGGCACAACAGCGCCACAGTTGCAGTTCCCAGTTTGAGGCCCATAAGCGTGGGATTGTTGCACTTACACACAACAGAGAGACAGAGAGAGAGAGAGAGAGAGAGAGAAAGAGAGAGGAAGAGAGAGGGAGAGTGAGAGAGATAAAAATGATAGACTAGGAGACAAAGGATTGTCGTTCTTTTCATGCCATTTTCATAGCCATGCCAACGGGCGTTGCAATTGTTTTACGGGAAATTGAAAATGTTGCCACTTTATACGTGTGTGTGGGTGTGTGTGTGGGTGTGTGTGTGGGTGTGTGGGTGTGTATGTGTTGTAGATGTAACTGCCAATGGCTTCGATAATTAATCGATAAGTGTGTTTAGTGGGGCAAACGAAGTTCCAACCATGGAAATATTGATGAGTACCGAATGGAAAATCATTACAGCAATCGATTAGCCATTGAAAAAGGTGTTAGCCCGTGATTATAAATCGATTGCAGTGTTGCTTCGATAAATGATCGATAAATGATCATAAAACAATTTAAAGTTTATCGACTAGTAATCGAAAAAGATAAATTATCGTTACTTATCGAAAATATTGATCGATTTCAGGGCCCGTTGCTGTTGCTCAGTCTTCCCAGTAACGATAAGTAATCGATGATTTGGGACATGATTTTGATTGAATTAAAACTTGATGGAATATTCCTTTTCGGTATTGGAAGTTTGTGGACAGCTGCCACACGCCAGCACTCCGGCCCCTGCCCCTGCCACCCTCTGCACCCTTGCCAGCCTTGAAGAGGTATGGGGGATGGACGGATGTTGGGCTTGGGTGTGGAAAGTGGATGGCCATGAATGCCTTCGTGTTTAATTAAAATTTTTTGACAACTTCGTGCTTTGGCATAAATTGGGCATCGATGCGGAGGAGGCGCATGGAGCCAGGACCAGGACCAGGACCAGACCCAGGACTCGGAATGCCCAAAGGCGGCGGGCTGGGAAGGGAAAACTTAGCCAACTATTTCAGCAATTAGAAGAGGAATCTCCCATCCGATGGCGGAACCCAAGCCCGAAACCCTTTTCCTTGTTCCATAATTAGTGAACAGAAAAATGCGTTCACAGGCAAATGGAAAACGTAAAGGACTTCGATGAATTTTTGTTGGCTTGAGGCGAGTTTTTCCATGTGCCAGCACACACTAACCCCCCGCTCCCACCCACTCATATGTGCATCCTGTTCACTTTGGTGGGTGGGGGGCCATTCAGAGATGATGTCGCAGGACCGGAGAAGAGGCACAGCCAAAGACCAACCGACGACGACGATGGCCTGCAAAATTAATGGCCATCAGTCGCATAATAAATGAAGAGCTCCTCCAGACCACCACACAGGACCCTGCAATCCGACCCGACCCGTTCCGTCCTCCTACTTTTCGCAGGACTGTGCTCTTTGTCCTTGCCACGCCCACTATTTGAATGGGGGGCGTACAGTGTACAGCGTACAGGACAATGGAGAAGGGCCACAGAGAAAAGGCAAACTAGAAACAAGAGCACAAGAAAAACGTTCTTTAAAAAAAGTTCCTTTTATTTTTATTTCTTTTTTATTTGTATTTTGTTTTTCTGTTGAAGGCAATTTTTTGTATGCCCATTAGTCGTAGAGCGTTAACAGGGTATATGGGCTAGCAGGAAAAGAAAGAGGAGATGACTTCGAAGGAATTAAAAAACGGAGCTGGGGTAAGAGCTGAATTTCCTTGCTGCTTTTGTGGCTGTTTGCAGGATTTTTTATTCACAATTAAGCATAAAAATAAAAGTGAAATTCGAAACGAATGATGTCCGTTCGCTTAGGGGAACTTTCGACAACGATTTATGTGGCATTCCAGGAAAATGCTGGAAATGGAAGCGAGTCATC